ATACATACATACATACATACATACATACATACATACATACATACATATCAAACCAATATGAATATTGTGTGTACATGTTCCTAGCATTTTATCCATTGGCAGCAATGTTTAAACACTGTCCATTACCGAAATCACAAAAACAACATCAACTTCTAACAATTTGGACAATTTGATGTATATCATCAATCAATATCTGATCCAAGTAAGCTTGCATTGGTGGCATACTAATGTGTCAATAGAATATTCAACTCCTAAAGGGCTAAAATGACATTATTTACCACTAAATAGAATTTAAAAGAAAGACTGTTTTTCAACAGCTGAACTATTTAAGAACATGCACTGCTTTAAGAGTTTAGTGCAGCTTTAGAATGCTCTAAGGATATTCTCGCTTCCTTGGCTTTCGGAGGGTGTTTCCACTTTTGTAACCAAATTCATTCCCTTATAGGGGACGCGATTCTACACCACTTCAACTGCTTGCGCTGCTGCTCTGCTGCGGGCTGCTGCTGGCGCTAAGGGGGGCATCTAGAGCTGCAAACCTTTGGACCTCGTTCAACAAGGGTCCACATTATTGTTTTTGGCCTGGATCTTTTCGACCTTTCGAATGAAAAGGGGCACATTTCGCCTCATCCTTCGGTTTCTTCAACAACTCGTGCTGCTTGCTGCTTGCTTGCTGCTGCTGCTGCTGCTCGCGCTACTTGCGCTATGGGGGACTAGGGTTGATACTCTTGGACATTTCTTGGACCCCGTTTGGGTCTCAGTCCAGCACAGCTCAATTTTACTTATTTCAGGGCAACCAGTGAAAACGGGCATGCTGCATGCTGTTGAACTTGTTTAAAGCAACGATTGAACATTGAATTAGCGTTGCATGTATTTCGAGGTTTCTGTGTCATGACATGATGGCCGAAACGAACGCATGTTGATCACTAGCAATCCGCGGTTTTTAAGACATTTGAGATGCAAAAACGCACGACAAAACACCTTTTTGACCTTACCGGTCCGCTGGTTTTTACAGATTGGGCGTGTCTTGGCGTGACTTCATTGAAGCAATGTTTAGGTTGGGAAGGCATTCAAATGTTTATTCCAAATCCTACCTTTTATGTTTCACTTTATTCGTACCTGTCCTTGATGTAGATGTTGAAATTGAGTTTTGTGAATGTTCAGAAACTAATGGAAAATGGAAGTAAGTTCACCTCCCGTTGATCTTTGTTGGTTCTATCCACGTTTCACTAAGCATTCCGTCACGCTCCTTTCATGCCCTTTCAATGAAAGGAGAAAGAACTTTGGCACCCCGTCTATTTTGCCTGAGGTCCTTAAAACAAATATACTAGAGGAACATGGACGGACAATGACAAAATGTTGAAAGGAAAGGAAAGGCCTGAGAAGTGTTTGACAGGACAATTAGAGAGCCACATGAATCATGAAGGAAAACCAACGGACAATAGTAATAAGTGTTTTATGATAATGAAAAGAAAACCAAAACAACTCCAAAGAAGACTGCACAAGACCCGCCAAGTTACATACACAAGCAACGCAAAAAGGCAACTTAAATGTGCATGCCCAAGCAAGAACTCAAGATAGAGAGTTTCTGAAATTGTCAAGAACTACTATCAGGACTTGTTGGGAAACCTGTGTGTCGTCATGTCGAGAAATACTCCTACTCTAGATTATCTTGTATACTCCTACTCTAGCGTTTCCCGTTTCCTCGTTCTCTGATCCTTTGGGACAACAACAGACCAGAACCCAAGCATCAGAGATGCTTTAATCAAAAGACATTGACATGACCATCTTTGATGTCAGAAGTTCAGAAACTCAAACAAAGAAACCTGGCATATACAAACCGCAAGTTGGATGGCACAATGGCATGGGCTAGCTCATGCAGGAAACTGATGCAATCTAGCTGGTATGCTCGGAACTAACACGGTCTGTCCTGGGGTGTTGCATGCCATGCCCAAAATTCATGAAACTCTACAAGGTTCCGCAGACCTGTGTTGGTTCAGAAAGTTTTGCAGAGAAGCCTGCAAGACTCGACGCACCTCATCCACCCGATGGTGTCCACACCTAATTCTTTTTGGCTGAGGGCCACACCTCACCCTTGCTCTGTCGGCTGTTGGCCTTTGTTCAAACAACTGCATCTGCGAAACTGCGGAGTGGATAAGCCCGGTAAGCCCCCAATCGACAGGAGACGATTTACAAGTTGGAAGTTATGCAAAATCTACAATGGGTGGAGAGCACGGCACGTCATGGCATTAATTACTACAGTAAGGCCTGAGGAGCTGACTGCTGCACGTATATAGTCCCAGATCAAAGCTGTTGCAAGGGTGATTGACAGCAGCACTGCGCAAATGACCTGCTGCGTGCACACAAGGACAGTTCCAACCTGTTCAAAGTCAACCTGACATCTTCCTGAGTTGCCCATTAAGGCCGACCAAAGGGGCCCTGAATCCTGAAACGGTACTGCACGTCGTGACGCACGCGCTCTTCAAAATCAAAAGCTTGAGCTTGTTTCTAACAATTTGATTGGCGAAGGTCAAGAAAGATGGAAAGAACCTTAGAAATAATGAAAATGATGCATCAGGCTGGTATATATATATATATTGATTTACCATGGTTGACATCGGATAAATGTTCACAGGCTCAACCTCATCAAGCTGCACTTTCATGGCCACCCGTCTTTGCGTGAAACAATTTGTCTGATAAAATCCTCTATAAATGACTCTGAAGTGTTTATGGTCTAGTCTAGTGGCCGTCCACTTTGCCGGACAAAGTGATGCTTGCTTGGCTTCCCAACCCCTCTTGCTCCTGGCTTGGCCTGGCAGGCAGCTCAGCTTGAAGGGCATTCCAGCAACCCAAGCGACAAGACATGCAACAAGCCCCGGCGGGCGCCTGGGCGACTTCCTTCTGCGTGACTGTGGGCGATGGGACCGGCGTAGGAGTGTCTGGAAGCTTCGTCTCTAGCTTCGCCGTCTTGACCTCAGGACATTGTGTACCAAACCCCAAACTTTGCGATGTTGGCTGTCGAAGCTTTCGACCTGTTGTTTCTTTTAGCCATAGTTGTCCAGAAGTCCAAGCAATACTAATCAAGACTGTCTGAAAGAAATTGAAAAGGAGAAGTTAGCACAGTTCACGTTCTTCCAAAAAGTGGTACCTGGAAACTTGGGAGTGGACTGGTGTGCTTGACACGCTCGGCGTGCTCTTGACCAAAAGCTCCTGCACCACGCTGTGAAAAACTGAGGTCGATGAGTGGAGTTGAACCTCCCCGCTGCATCTGGTCGTAATCGCCCCTGTGGTAATTGACACACACAATCCTACATACTGGGTGGCCTGACCTGACTCACCCACTGCATTCACGGAGTCAAGAAGAGGCATGCGTGACTGGCATGTGCACCTTGTTTAAACTGCTAAAACCCTCTATTTTCCAACTGGTGGTTAAACGGGTGTTTGTCTCGAAAGCATTTGCATGGAGTAAACCATGGCGCAATGCCTTTGGATGGTGGTTGGTTGGTAGACATCTGGAGGACAACACTCTGTTATTACTAGCTTCTTGTTACTACTAGTAAGGCACTTGTTACTAGTAGCGAGGCACTTGTTACTATTAGTAAGGCACCTGTTACTTAAAGAGCTGGACTGGGCCCAGGAAGACCGGGTCCTCGGCACCGCTCCACGGCAGATCTTCATCCTCATTGCAACCAGCCTGGTCTCGAAGTAGTCAAAAGCAAGTTCGTTGTGTTCAAATCCCAAAAAACATGTGTTAATAGAAGGCTCCTTCGACCAGAAGTGAATCAGTCACATAATATTCAAAAACAAAACACGGGCATCGAATTGTGTGGCCCGCGGTACATCACTGAATCAATGAGCTGGTGATCCAGCCCCTAACTCCTAAAACCTGGACTCAAACCTTCGCCGGCCCGCAAACTGAAGTCGTTCCCTGGATTTTTGCAGGGGCTTTGCAAGAAGTCTTGGCAATTGGAAGGCGTAGCTGTACAATTTCAAGTTGTTTCCTTCAATGTTGCATGTCGTGCAAGCAATGAGACCACAACTCAAGACAGCAGCCATTCAAGCAAGGCAGTTTCGAGCAAAGGTCCCACAAAAACCAATATGTGTTCGCATCTTCCTCGTGCACCGCTCAACCCTCAACTCATCAGAGCCTTGGAAGCCAGGTCCTTGTTTATGAGCAACCTCCACTGCAAGTTTCTCACATACGTCAGGACCTTGGCATACTGGATATTGATCAGTGCCCAGATGAAATCAACGGTTCCTGATGGACCGAGATCTTTCTGCGGCCGCGGGCAATTCTTCATCTACCAACTCGCGTCTTGCATGTGGCATGCAACAGGCCCAACTCACGGGCCATGGTTGCAATAGCACAACCAGCATCAGTCAGTAAGATCGTTCGCTTGCATACGACTACACATTGCACTAACTGACATAGTACACAGTGCATTAGTGCCGGACTACCTGCTCAAAAAGCATACTTGAGATGATTGAGATGTCAGTATGTCAGTATTGTAGAGAGATGGGGATGCCTCCAAGTCAACCAGCATGATCTCATGAGAAGTAGCAGAGAAAGATCTGTAGAAGAGCTCCCGCCACACTTTTTCATACAGAGGTAGCAAGCGAGCCACTATCATATCACGCGCGCTGCTTGCAACTCAAACGAAACATGACAGGACTCACGGTAAGACTGCCAAGTTGTCATGCGCACCGCCACAGCATCTTCCAGTCATTGGGCTGGCAAAGAAAACAAATCTCTGCATCTGGACAAGCGTCGCAGAGAGTCTGCGGGGAAGCCTGGAAAACATACTCAACCTCAAACGGTTTGCCATCCGCCAAGACCGTGCCAGGCAACACAACCTAGTCAATCGCAGCAGAACCAGGAAGCACATGGCAAGCAAACAGTTTGTTGCCGCGTGATGAGAGGCTTTGCGCGGGCCTTTTACAAAAAATGGCTGTGCAGCTCAAAGCCCCCGGTGCCACGCTCAGAAATGTCAAGCGTGTCCATTCAACGGAATCCAAGCACCTCTGGGAGTTGAGTCTCCATGTCATGAGCCCATGAGAGCAGACCACGGGGCACAGAGAACCATGCAGTACGGTGCTGTGAAACCTATGACCATGCTGTGAAGCCGATGGCCGATGGCAATGTGATGAACGTTTCCCGTCCCCCAACCCCCATCCCAATTACAAAACAACTTACTGGTTCGATGACATTGACAAGCTGCAGCTGCTGCTGCTGGTCCTGTGGTCCTGTGGTCCTGTGGTCCTGTGATCCTGTGGTCCTGTGGTCATGGTGATGAGTGATGATGGTGATATGTCAAAATGCTACTACTCTTCTCGGACCGTAGGCACAACCTATGCAATACAAGTTCGCCAATGGCTTTTGAGCAGGGACTCCCTCCCTAGAGGCATTTCTCCTTCAGAGCAATCCTTTTAGTAAACCATCTGACTCATGTGATCTCATGGACCGTTTGATTCCAATGCACCAGAGCTCCAATGGGCAGAGTTGCCTTTGGATTGCCATTCTCGTCCAGCTGGCAGACATCACTGGCAACCTGTGGGGTCAGATACCAGCAAGTCAAATCGCTGAAGACACGAACCAAAGAAGTATCATCGATGCTGTTCCTGCAAGTCCAACTCCAGTACTCTCTCCCCTACACTGTCATTGGACTCACTTGACAGACCTGCTTTTGCATCTCCTCCAAGGTGGCAGAGGAGTCGCTTTCCCCGGTCTCCTGCATTCCACTCATCACAATATCCCCGTTTCACCTCCTTTGGGCTCTAGGTTCCCTACACAAATTTCTTGCAAAAGAGCTCAACCAGGTGCCAGGTGGCTGGAAGGAACCGAGGATACTTGGTAAGAGCTCCAGAATCATCCAAATACTGCAAAAGGATCTCTTCGTTACTTGGGCTGCATGACTTGGCAGATTGGAGTCCAGTGAGTGGACTCTGACTTTGTGCAATCCGTTCTCCACATCTCCAAGTGACGAGACCCTTCCCACCTTCATCCACTCGTCTGGCGTCTGAGGGCTTGTGGTGCCGAACTCGTGTGGATAAGGACACCTGAAAAAGAAAAGAACAACTTGTCATGACTGGCATGTCAAACACTGTTTGACAATGTCTGGTCGTTTGACAAAGTCTTTCTCGAAAAAAGTAAATGCAAAAACATAGAATGCTGCTGTCGCATTAAAGTAAAGTGGGATGCCAATCAGTCAATTCGACACTTCTTAGACAAGAGCTCTCGAGGAAAGGCATGGTGCATCCACTGTGCAAAAAGCCGGCCGTGGATAGGCACCTAGCACAGACGCATGCAGTGGATGCCGCGTGTGGAGGTGCAAATAATGTGCAAGAAATGAGTGGCCATCAATCCAATGTTTAAAGAGAACAAAATACAAACTGTCACACTTGAATAAGGATTGTTGATTGCTGGGGGTGGCTCCGCTGCGCCTTTCCGCCATGGAGGTTGGCCACCTCCTTCAAACGAGTTTGAAGAGCTTGGCTCAGCTCACGTGGTGCTGCCACCTCAATCGCAGCATGCAACAGAGTTAACTGCACTGCGGATATGATCACGCATTGTAAAGGCAGAAAGGAAAACCCTCTCTGGCCTTGACACAGCCTCTCTGATCGTCATCTCGCTCCCAGAAAACACATCTGAGGCAAGGGCTGTATCCGAAGCAAGGTTGGAGACCTCAAACCAGACCAATGCAGTGCCACTGCACATCATCCATATGTTAAACCAGGGCCCTGCAGACCGGAAAGATCAGATAGAATAAGAGGCCAAGTCGGCCGAGTAGGCAAAAAGAAGCTGTTGTCGCTTAAGTCTCCAGTACTCAGTAGCAAGGAAGCTGTTGTAGCTTCATGGTTCCTAGATGTTCAAGGAATTCAAGAAATCTGAGCTACACTAAGGCTGACACAAATTGCAGGATCCTCGAAGGTTCCGCCATAGATGTCTTCAGCTCACTTTCAAGTTGGCCCATCAGGTCTTCACCTGAAGATTTGGGCAATTACATGCAATTAACTAAACCTGCAGAGTCCTGGCACAGGGAGATTAGCTCACCAAGCCCGATCAAGTGCAACCACGTCACACTCATTGCGGCAGCAAATGGCATACCTCACACTGTTCTTCAAGGAATAGGTCGACATGTGCATATGCCAAGTTGGGAAACAATTTCAATCTTCCTTGCACACAGAACAGCTGCAGCAATGGGTCCAGTATACCCGAAAGCATGGCAATTGTCGCATTGTAATTCTCAGCAAAGGATTGAAATTTTACCTGTTCTGAGGCACAACGCGCCAACATCCCAGGGATCTTTAATGAATACAGTTGAGCGACAAGCCGGAAGCCTCCAAGCAATTTGGTCGAGCCTCAGTCAAAATCAGAATATTCTGCATTAAAATGAAAGGGACAAGGGTTCCGGAATATCAGTAAACAACCACCACAACCTATTTAGGGGAAGGGTGGATGAAAGATATCCGATGGTGTGGAGGACCCTGGTCCTAGAAGGCACACGGCGGGGAACACCCGAAGGATTGGAACCCGTGGTGTGCAGGAGTGCGGGTTTGGGGAAGGAGCTCCTACGGCCACCTACAACACAAACCCGAAAGCAACGAATGCGAAAGTGGCACGGCGCGACCGAACGAAGCGACGTGCGCGAGCGCTGAAGCGACCGCGGGCGCAATCGTTTCTTGAGCCATGATGGGCGTCGGTGTGAAACAATGACTTGTCGACCGACGACCGAAAACACTGTACATGAACCCTTATGACATGGCAAGTTAGGGGTTACCACAGTGCGTGATATTTTGACTCCCCCCTCGCCGCTTTGCGTGTCATGGGTTCACTGTATGTACAGGTATTAATTACCGCGCGTTAAGCAGCGGCTTTTGCACCTACATCGGCACCTAACGAAAAGCTTCGGTCCCTAAGGGAGGGTTTCGGCTCGCGAATATCCGTACGTATGCCAAGAAGGCATAAAGCTTTGTACCACTTCTGCGGTGGCAGTGCTTTTGTAAAGATGTCGGCGGCCTGTTCGTTGGTGTCGATGTATTGCACATTGATGCATGGGTCATCGAGGCACTCTTTCAAAGATGAGAGGTTTATCTTGTGTGTCCGGCCGATGTGTCGAAGTTTGGGGGAATACCCCTTACGAACGACTATGATGGTGGCTTGGTTGTCCTCATGGATAACTAAGTCCACCGGCCTCTGCAAGAGCTTCTCCCAAAGTTGGAGAGCGGGTATGCCCTCCTGGTATAAAGAGTGTGCCAAACTTACCACTTCTGACTCCGTAGTGGAGCGTGAAGTGGATGTCTGCCTTTTCGAGATCCATGCAAGTGGGAAAAAGGTGTTAGGACCTTTTAGTGTCAGGAGGCCGCCTGAGGTTGACTTCACGTCACCGGAATCGCCTCCAAAGTCCGCATCGACGTACAGCTCAAGCCTGAGATCCTTTGGATCGTCTTGGCAAGAGGCGGTCAGTCTGTAGTCTAGCGAGTATTGGAGGTATTGTATTAGCCTTAACAACTTCTTATCGTGCACTCGGGTCCAGGCTTGGACCTTAGTTGCTAAGTCATTAATAGGCTTGAGGATATCCGGTCTAGACAGGCGGGCCAACCAAAGGGCCTTCATTAGTATCGAACATGCTTTGGGGGCGAGCTCTCCCGGAGAGTCCTCGTCCTCCTTTGGCCATGTTCCATCGGGGATGAAGGGTGTTTGTGCAGGTTTGATTTTATCGACTTTAGCAACACTTTTATAAAGGTCTATGGTCTGTTGGGCATAGTCCTTCATGTCGAAAATCAATGCATCAGGAGCCGCGCCTAAAGCAGCGTTCTCCTCACCCTGTGCTTTGTCGAAACTGGCATAAACATGGTTTCTTCCGAGGATTCTATAAATGGTTTCGGGAGGCTCTACGTTTACCTCTGACATTAGCTGGTTCCAAAAAGGAGCATGGTGCTCCGACGGCCCGGATAATGTCAAGTCGTCTACGTACGTAGATAACATGAGACCTGTCCCTTTGAAATAAAAATTTCCGGGGTACTCAGGAATCTCCTCACCGTTCATTTTCTTTAAAATCCTCTTTAGATGGTTTTCCCACATTCCGCCTGCGTCGGGATGTCCATACAGTGCCCTCACCAGAAGTACAACTGGACGGGTGAATTTTCCCTTCCACCACTCCGGGCGGAGTTCAGGTGGAAGTTCGATCCACGTTTTGTACTTACTTTTGAGAAAGGCTTGAACGTAAGCCTTCACGGCGTCTGCCGCCGTGCAGGCATGTCCCGGCAAGGAGCCGTAGGCTAAACAAGCGTTTAAGCCTTGTACGGAGGTTGGGTTCGCGCCCAACTCCTCGTAGACGGCGGCGACGCCATTCTCGTCGCGTGCACAGTCGCCGCGATATACTATCCGCCCCTTCATTTTGTGAAGGTGTTCAGCCAATTCCCAAAATTTAATTGAGGCGATAGTCATTAGACGGCCAAAGTGTACGGACACTTTGCTAGCCTTTGCGTCGGCCTTGACTGCATCATATTCCTGAACCGAATCAAGATCCCATGTACCGATGTCGGTCAGGGATGTTGCTTCTTCCTTTACTTTCTCAACGGCTTTAGGGTTCGCTAACATTTCTGCTCTTGAGAGCAACTTAGTTACCATGGCGTGCACCCTACCGTGATGTTCAGGTTCTCCAGGAATGTTGAATGCATCTCGAACGAGAATTTCCAAGTCCATCAGGCATTCTGCCATCTGGTTTGCAACTTCGTCGGTTTCGACGGCCAATGCAAATGCATCGGCACCTGCGAGTGCGGAGATGTGTTTCAAGGGCTGCTCTTTCACCCTGTGTTCCTCTTCCCGCGCCTGTGAGGCAGCGGCTGGGACCACACATGGCATGGCTGGGGCCGGAGCTAGGTTGGCCTTCTGGGGGTACAACGCTCTGGCTATTTCGCCTACCATTCGTGGAAGGTAAAAGGCGGTCTTTGCGGTCTGAGACCCAACCGCGTGATCGTGTTCATGTGGGGAGTGCGTGCATTTATGCTGCGAAAAAGCATCTACGATGCGCTGGCTTGTCGTCATGAGTCTCCAAGTCTTCTTAATGGGTCTATCCTTAGTGGATATAACTCCTACTGCGCAGCCATCAAACTCGACTCGTTTGAACTCTGGATGCGAATCAAAGAAGGACTGGACGTCACGGCGACTCCAACTCTCACAGCCCTTTGGCCATTCAAAGGTCACAGTGCCCCCCCTGCTAAGGACGATCCCTGCGCTCCTTTCGAATTCCGCGAAAAGGCGCTTGGACTCACGAATCTGCTGTGCGTGTACACGGGCAAATCGCGCGCCTCCCTTGGACCTGTTGACTCTTTGCCATGGGGACCCTGAGGTACATGGTATCGACGCCCACAGGTCTGGCACCTCCTCACAGGTCTCCAAATGGTTATGGAGCTGGTCCTGCATGTCGGCGTCCGTCAGGTCGAGGTGTTCCTTGCTTAGGGGTACATGTGGAATTCCCAATTCTAGAAATGTCTTATGCATTTGCGAATCAGGGGCACACGCAAACTCGAACATACAACGGTTGAACTTAGTTGGTCTCTTCTTACCTCTACTTCGCTTCTTCTTAACTTGACTTACTTGTGATGCTTCGGTCATTGCAGGCATCCCAAACACAGGCACGCCACTTTCGGGTCTAGTTTGTACTAGTTGGGTCCTATATGTGGTGTGCGGGGTTATCGAAAGGCCGGCTATTATCGTTGGCGTAGCGCTGGCATCCTCTGGTGCCTCCGGCGGAGGGTCCGCTGGCGGTGGTGGAGGCGGATCTTCTGGGGCTACAGGAGGAATTTCTTCAACAGTGATTCCTTCTTTTCGCTTTGCCAAAAGTTCGGCCTTCTCCTCTTCAACAAGTCGTGCGAAACGCTTTCGGCATTCATCGGTGTGATGACGTGTCTTGCGCTCGCAGGCCTTGCAGCCAGGAGTCTCACTGAATCGGATTACTCGATCTAATGTTATGTAAACACTTCGGGACTTAGGCCCGACGGGTGTCGGCGGCGCAGCGCCTTCACCCTCTTCCCCAAAGGGAACCTCTTTCATGGGATAGTCGGGCATGTCTAGTTTGGCAATGTCGTCCAAAATGCCTAACGAACCACCATGGAGATGCCTCAGCTTCGTTGAGGCCATGAGAAAAATGGGCGGTCCCTCCTCTGTGTAGATCTCGGCCTCGGGCACATCTAACACATTTGGGTGCTTACTAACTTTAAAATCCATGTAATCCATGATTCTAGCTACATAACGATAACGGAAACCCGACTCAATGCGCCATCCCATGAAGAGACCAGGCGACATGTTTGGTTCGAGAGTCCTCTTGCTTACCTTACGATCTCGGTAGTACACCAGTTGGCCAAAACATCTGCGAATGCCATCAAACTTGGACTTAGTTAGGGCTTCCCATTGTGACTTGGCTGGGTCTGACAATGACGGGCGATCGAACGACATCGACATGCAGGCATATGGAAACGAGTATGTATGAAACTCATACGGCAACCCGGATTGCATGTGGATTGCGCGACAACACTCTTTTTCCTCACGAATGTCTCGCTCTAGTGTGGCGTTATGAGGCCACCTGTTGGGAAGTGAGACTTCGGGGAGCAAACCCACCTCATGAGCGGCTTGTTCCAACTCACCTGCTTCGTCCATTTTTATTAGGACACACGATGCTAATTCGTTTGCTCTTAGCCCCAAGAAACGCCTAAAGTTCTTGGCGTGATTGCTAGCTGTCCTGTTTACCATGGGATAGGCTATCCTTGCGCCAGAAAAGGTGTCTCTGACTATGTGGAACACCTTAGTCCCACCCGTTCCCTTGCCGGCGAAGTCATCGCCCTTGGCCATGATCACATCGTCAGTCGACAGTTGCTCGAATGGTCCTTTGGGAGGATCAATCATGTCGTCATCTCGGGTGTCGGGCTTCCTTGCCACCCTCTTGCTGGTGGACTTAGAAATCTGACAAACAGGGCAATAAGGGTTCTTAGGATAGTGGGTTAAAATGTGTGGCTCTTCGAATGCGGCGGCTTTCAGCGCCTCGGGTGTGCCATCCAACTCGACATCCGCAATCTCCAACAATGTTTTGTCGTCATCGGGATGTGGAGGAACCCTCTCCGCGCCCGAACTGGGGGCAGCGGCTATAAAACCCTTACTTTGACTAGAATTGGATTTTGGTGAAACATCGGAATCGAGGTCCATAGGTTCGCTAACGACATCATCCGCCACACTTGGTGTGGAAAGCTCCCCATCAGGAAACATGGAATCTTCATGATTGGTGGAGGCCGGGGAGGCGTCAACTGCACCCATTGGTTGCAACCGGTCTGGTGGAACAAAGTCAACAGGGGTGACTTCTTCG